GCTCACCGCAACCTCCGCCTCCTGGGTTCAGGCAATTCTCCTGCCTCAGCCTCCTGAGTAGCTGGGATTACAGGCACGCACCACCATGCCCAGCTAATTTTTTGTAGCTTTAGTAGAGACGGGGTTTCACCATGTTGACCAGGATGGCCTCGATCTCTTGACCTTGTGATCCACCCGCCTCGGCCTCCCAAAGTGCTGGGATTACAGGCTTGAGCCACCGCGCCCGGCTATTTTATTTCTTTTCTTTTTTTTTTTTGAGACAGAGTCTCACTCTCTTGCCCAGGCTGGAGCGTAGTGGCACAATCTCAGCTCACTGCAACCCCTGCCTCCTGGGTGCAAGCAATTCTCCCACCTCAGCCTCCCGAATAGCTGGGATTACAGGGATCTGCCACCACACCCAGTTAATTTTTTGTATTTTTTTTATAGAAACGGGGTTTCACCATGTTGTCCAGACTGGCTGTAACTCCTCCTCGGCCTCCCAAAATGCTGGGATTACAGGCATGAGCCACCGCACCCGGCCTTTTTTAAAAATTAGCATTTCTTTTAAAAATGTTATTATTATTATTATTGAGACAGGGTTTTGCTCTAGTTGCCCAGGCTGGAGTGCAATGGTGCCATCTCAGCTCACTGCAACCCCCACCACCCAGGTTCAAGTGATTCTCCTGCCTTAGCCTCCCAAGTAGCTGAGATTACAGGCATGCACCACCACACCAGGCTAATTTTGTATTTTTAGTAGAGCCAGGGTTTCTTCATGTTGGTCAGGCTGGTCTCGAACTCCCAATCTCAGGTAATCTGTCCGCCTCAACCTCCCAAAGTGCTGGGATTGCAGCGTGAGCCACCGCACCTGGCCTATTTTTTTTTTTTTTAAACTTAAAGTTCTGGGGCACATGTACAGAGCGTGCAGGTTTGTTACATAGTTATACATGTGTCATGGCAGTGTGCTGCACCCATCAACCTGTCATCTAGGTTTTAAGCCCCTCATGGTATTTGTCTTAATGCCCTCTTTCCCTGTGTTCCCCACACCCTGACAGGCTCTGGAGTGTGATGTTCCCCTCCCTGTATCCATGTGTTCTCATTGTTCAGCTGCCACTTATGAGTGAAAACATGTGGTGTTTGGTTTTATGCTCCTATGTTAGTTGGCTGAGGATGTTGGTTTTCAGCTTCATCCATGTCCCCGCAAAGGACATGCGCTCATTCTTTTTCATGGCTGCATAGTATTCAATGGTGTATATGTGCCACATTTTCTTTATCCAGTCTATCATTGATGGGCATTTGGGTTGGTTCCAAGTCTTTGCTATTGTAAATAGGGCTGCAATAAACATATGTGTGCATGTGTCTTTAGAGTAGAATGATTTAAAATCCTTTGGGTATTTACCCAGTAATGGGATTGCTGGGTCAAATGTTATTTCTATTTCTAAATCTTTGAGGAATTGCCACACTGTCTTCCACAATGGTTGAACTAATTTACGCTCCCACCAACAGTGTAAAAGCATTCCTACTTCTCCATAGTCTTGCCAGCATCTGTTGTTTCTTGACTTTTTAATGATCACCAGTCTAACTGGTGAGAGATGGTATCTCTTTGTGGTTTTGATTTGCATTTCACTAATGACCAGTAATGATGAGCTTTTTTTCATATGTTTGTTGGCTGCATAAATGTCTTCTTTTGAGAAGTGTCTGTTCATATCCTTTGCTCACTTTTTGATGGGGTTTTTTGTTCTTGTAAATTTGTTTAAGTTCCTTATAGATTCTGGATATTAGTCCTTTGTCAGATGGATAGATTGCAAAAATTTTCTCCCATTCTGTAGGTTGCCTGTTCACTCTGATAATAGTTTCTTTGCTGTACAGAAGCTCTTTCATTTAATTAGATCCCATTTGTCAATTTTGGCTTTCATTGCGATTGGTTTTGGTGTTTTAGTTACGAAGTCTTTGCCTGTGCCTATGTACTGAATAGTATTGCCTAGGTTTTCTTCTAATGGTTTTATGGTTTTAGGTTTT